CTCTCTCTCTCTCTCTCTCTCTCTCTCTCTCTTTTTCTCCCCCCCTCCTCCTGCTCCTCCTCTTATACAAATTAAGGTGATGCTTTAATCTAATTTTTTTCTCTTATGAAACTCAAAGAAACTCAACAACGCATTTCATGCTATGTGGGAACGAATACCATTTCTACTACTTAAAAGAAAGATCCCATATTGGACGCCGCGGTGCAAGTCTTTATAAAAGGGCATTGAAGTGATGGGAGTGCAGAAAGCTTGTGGGACGACTTCTCTTTAAAGTGCTGGGCCCAATTCTCATAAAGTTCAGTATATCATATGATATGAAGTTTGAAAGAAAAAATAAAGAGTGGCATAAAAAAAAATGTCTTTATAGAGGTAGGGGCGCTTCTCAAAGTGTTTTTTTATAAAATACAAATTTGAAAAATACAAAGTAGTAAAAAATTTTTGTAGGGAATCTGGCGGATTCCTTGTGGAACTGGCTGGTTCTATCAGCCAGTTCTTTGATATGGCTGGTTCTATCATGAATCGGACGGTTCACGGGGGGGAACCGGCTGGTTCTCGATATGTAGTGGGGTCTAGATCAGCCTGGCCGATTCTCAATCAGGATCGGTGGTTTTGATCCGGATCGTCAATTTTTAAAACATTGTGCATAACTATGCTAGATTTGAAACCATCTGTTGAATTTTTATGTGAGAGAAGCATGACATAAGCCAGAGATTGGCCATTTTAACATTCTAGATTACATAGGTCTACTCATTAAGCTACTTGCTCATTATTTTTAATGCTATAATTCTGCTAATATACGGTCAGATTTGATCATTGTAGTCATAGGATGCACAAATTATTTGAATTTTGTCACTAAATGATTTTCTTTATGTTAAGCCATGTCAAAAAACCTAGACTTGCTCCATGAACCATGCAGGGCCCTGCCCATGTCAACTCACGAAGTCCTGAGCTGACTTGGCAAGTCTTGCCCATAAAAAATAACATAAAACAATAAAGAAAAATAAGGAGTAAAAATTAGTAAAAAGAATAGGAAAGTTTAGAAAAAGGAATAAAATATAAAATGTTCATTTGCAATTATAGTAGGGTTGCCTTTGATATTTTTGTCATTTTTGGCTCACACTGGATTAAATTATAAGTAACAAACAATGATTCTATTTCAGTTCAAGTGATTCCATATTCCAAGTTCTGATTCCATATGAAGAACTTTGACATATAATTAAATGCACAAAATATACTAGTAGAGTCAGATAGACAAAGACATATACCAAATCTGCTAGAATAAGACACATTTGGGTGCTAAATCATAGATGGCCCAAGTTACTACATTAAAAATTTCTGCAGTTTACAGCGTAAAAACAGACAGAACCTTCTAATAAAGTGTCTACATTTCCCAAAATATGCACAAGCCTGTTCTGAAATTTCACAGGGAGTAAGTAGACTCCAAAAAACAAAGAAAATAAGCATATGTCGCTCCAGAGAAACTTGCTACTACGTGCTGAAGAAGTGCTTCAAAACAACTGAATTTTTGTAGAAAAACACAAATCTGGTTTTGTGCCTACAGTCAACCCCTAGGACTTCTTACACTTCTCATTGTTTCCTGAGACTAATGTCACACCCAAAGAGAAAGAGATGGAGGTTGCAGGCCAGAAAAGTTTCTCTCTTCTCCATCTTTTGAATTATTGAATATTAAACCCATATAGAACTCTCCTTGCTCTCCATGCACCACCGTCTCTCTCCTCACCTTTCTCTCCTTAAATCTTCACAAAAACTCTCTTAAGGTTCTCTGCCTTCCACACACCTCTCTCTTACTCTCTGAAGTCTTAAACTCTCAAGGAACAATCATGATTAACAAATAGAGGTGGATATCCCTTTATATAGACATGTATAGGGACTGGTTTGGAATTCTGGATTTGTCTTCCTTTAGAAGTGGGAAATCTAAGAGGGGAGGATCTAAAATATTAGTCGTCAACCTTGATCTGCCATCATGATGCAACGGTTGGAATCACAACCGTATCCGTTGTAGGACTCTTCCGAACAATCTTCCCATTTGGGGAGAGAGCAATTGAGCAATGACTAAGGCATGAAACAAGTGTATCTACAAACCAATTTGATTTTATGTCAAGAAAGTCAACAATTGAGGCTATTTTCCTACTTAGACAACTGATTGAGAAGTTTCGGGCGAAGGGAAAAGACCCCCTCATGGTCTTTATCGATCTAGAAAAAGCTTATGATAGAGTACCTTGAGATTTGATTTGGTGGGTGTAGGAAAAGGAGTCTCCAGACACTGCATCGACTTGGTGAGAGATATGTACGATGGAGCCCTAACTAGTGTACGAACAACTAGTGGAGAGACGAGTGAGTTTTAAGTGACAATAGGTCTACATCACGGGTCAGCATTGAGCTCATACCTCTCTGTCTTAAATATGGAAGACTTAACTAGGCACCTACAAGATGAGGTACTGTGGTGCATGTTGTTTGCAGATGACAGTTTTGATCGATGAGACCTGAAATGACATCAATACAAGGTTAGAACTTTGGAAGGATGCTCTAGAATCCAAAGGTTTTAAAATTAGCCGAACTAAGACAAAATATATGGATGCAAGTTTAGTAATAATAGGAGTAGAGACAAAGAAGTAGTTAAGATTGACGGTCAGAAAGTACAAAAACGACCGCACTTTCGATATCTTGGGTTGATAATCCAGGAAAATGGAGAGATTGAGGTCTGAGGAAGACGTCGTACACATAATTAGAGCTGGGTGGGCGAAGTGGAGATGTGCACTTAAAATTTTATGTGATCGCTGC